AAAAAAGGGTTAAGTATGAGAATGCAATGAGGTGTAAATGATAAGGACATTGATTGTAATCTATCCTTAAAATTTCAATAACTTAAAACGAAGCTTGAGAGTGAAATAAGCCCTCGTTTGATGATCATTATTTGACAAAAATAAAGTTTTGAATAGTGTATTTTTAGAGAATGTGTGGTTAAAAATTAGAAAAAAGTTATGGATTTACATAATAAAATATTTTATTGTGTGAATGTGTAGTTAAAAATGAGTATATATAAAAAAATTATTGGATAATAGTTGTCAAATGGGGCTAAGTAATATTAGTTTGCAAATGGATTTCCATAGGCAATGAGCAAAGATTCCGATGCTCTTGTGATTGCAACTAATACTTTTTTGGATTGCCCTACTCGAACAATCTCCTGATTGTCCAGAAGGTTATGTGGCACCCACCTAATGAGGTTGTTCAAGTACAATAATCTTACTTCTTTTAACTTTTTTAGGGGTGAATGAGAAGGACAAATTCATTAAAACCAAAACCAAAAATTATAATTATACCTCATAAATCTTGTGATTTTATGTATGAATGGCAAAACTTGAGGAAAACTATTTACTTTGAACTCTTTCTTTAGAGTGAATTTTACTCAAGGTCACTTCTTCAATTCTCCTTTTTCTTAGAAATCCTCCTAGTCAAAAATTAGCTCAACGAACCCTGCCTAGGCCAAAAAATAAAGGGCTGGGTTGGTTGTCTCTATATCGTATTTTAGGTTCAATATGCTGAAATTTGTCCATTTCGATTTAAATGGATTTTTAAATATACAATCAAACTATGTTTTGAAAACTCTTTATAAATAGTTTAAATTATAAAGTAATAAAAATAAATGGAGGTCGAAGCTTGCACTTGTGAATTTTTCCAAATGTAAAATGACTCAAATATTTATAAATAATGTATAAACACGAGCCATACTTGGGATAATAATCTCACAAATGCTTAAATAATATTTAGAGCATATTTGAGTCCCATTTTTATTATAAAAATGTATTTTGGAATAGCAGATTGAACGAGAATGTGTAGTTGAAAAATAAGAAAAAACTTTGAATTTGCTTGTAATATTATTTTATAAAAGAATGTGTGATTGAAAAGAAGAGATAAAATATATTTTAGGAATAGTGGAAAACAAACAAGGGCATATTTAAT